ATTTCTGGGGTCATATTTTCCAAAATTAAAATACAGCAATAGTTCTAGTTAAAATGGAGTCTGTTACAGAAACCTTGTGTCAAATAGAAAATTCTCAAATGTTGATATGGATTGGAAATCTAAAGGCACACTTAAATTGTGTTCATTTGTGTAAGATTCTTATTTGGAAATAAGAAAAGGTTTCATTAATTTAATATTTGTCATATTATAATAACACTTTTTTGGACAGAAAGACTCTAGATGGTAGAAAGACTGAATGTTGAAAATAAAAAAAGGTTTTAATAAATAGCTATTATGAAGGCCTACACAAGGCAGAAGAATAAAACAGGTGGTCCTTTTAATGAGAGAACCCAAGGGGGTCCAGTTACCCTTTTAAAGCATTGATGTTCCTTAAAAGAACATCACTACGAGTGCCGACACATTCTGCTCTGATAGCTGGTCTCTTCCAAGATGCTTTGGTATGTTCGTGTCAGGGCGTTATACTCTACTGAACCATAAATTTCCACATCATCTGCTCACGTAAATCCAGCGGAGGACTTGCACAGCCATGTTAATCAATAGGATAAAATCTGCCAACATTTTTGACAACCAATTTTGCAGGATCCTAGTTATCCTTAAAGGCAGAAACTGCATGTTAATGGTGAGTTTTACTGATGTCATATGAAATTAGGGGTTCACTACCTGGTACTGTGCTCGTATGAATAAATAAATAATGCACAGTCTCAAGGAGTTGCTTTGCAGATGCGATCAGGAACGGAGTGGAGCAGCGCAGCTATGGAGTATGTGGGATTTCCGGGTTATCTTGCATTTCAAAACCTATTTATTCAAATTATCTATACAATGGCCAAAAGGTACAAACATGCGGCAAATGAATAAATATGCAGCAAATTCAAAAAATGAATGGCAAACACAAAAGGCTACATGAGAGAAATGCTCCAATAACATAAATTGAGAGCAACAAAGTGCAAATGTGCTGCAAAAACAAAACCTGCACGCAATGGAAAAATGCTCTAAGAATAAAAAAAAATATGCTAAGAGCTAGCTTATTTTTCCTCTGCATATGTTTTTCCTTTTATGCTAACTTTTTTATTTGCTAGTCTCATTTCTGTTTTGCAATACTTTTTGTATTAGCAACATATTTATAATTTGTAATGTGTCACCGTTAATCCAAACAATGAATTGATACATTTGCAGGAATCCTAAACAACGCATGCATAATCAGCAAACTTTACTTTTATTAATGTAACTTGAATTTAGAAAAATGCAATTTTTAGACTGGGCTGAACTGGAAGGGATTAGCTTAGATGGATTATTGTTCTGGAGATCTGGAAAAAAAATTAGGATAATTTAGGCCGTCTTTGCTAAAAACTAAAACTAAAGACATCAAAACCTGATACAAAACATCCAGCACCCCACTCACTTCCTCATTTATATATAATCTCACGTCCTTCAAGAAAAAACAACTCATCAGGGGAAACCAAACAGATGATGTGTGGGAAAGCCTGTATGACTACATCACTGTAGGTATTACGAGCATTTCCACCCTCTGCACAACAGATTGAATCTGTGTGATGAAGACTGTTTTTGGCAGCAGAAACCCTGCTTTGGTCATGTCACCCAGCACCTTCCGATGACGAGGCGGTCCGATCTGCTTCTCACCAAGGCCCCGCAGACTAACGCATGTGTCAGCTCACTTCACTTCACTCTATGAAAAACCGCTCTTAGTAGCCGTCTGACATCTGTACCTCATGCTCCTGACTCTTGCTTCTACTCGTTTCCTCCTTCATACGTTTCAGCCAATTATCTCCACTGAAGCCTTGGCAGATGTCATCCTTTTTAGATGTATTTTATCCTCGGCAACTGGCTCTCTCAGTCTCTCCTCTTTCTCACTCTCACTCAGACCCTACAGCCAGTATGACTCCCCAGGTTGATGCGCAACAGTGCGTTCCTGGTGTGCTATGAATGAGTGGAAGTAAATGCTGACAAATCCTTCATCATTACACTGAACACATCTTTGAATAACTAACATTTGGTGTTTTGACCTCAGTAAAAGTACCTCAGTTTAAAGGTTTCATCACATTTAGCAAAAGAAGTCTGATGAAAACATATATTTTATTTTGCATGCATAATAAAAAAAGCAAATTTTTGGCTTAAAAAATATAACTATACAGTTATTTGATCAAAAAACTAAGTAGACACCCACTGTATAGATCTTATTTTTTAATTGTGCATGAAACCTTTACTGCAGTATTAAAACAGCATCAGATTGAGAAATATTTCCAGGGTTGTTTTTCTTGGCAGTGAGAAAAACCTGACATTCCCTTCTTGCAGCCAGCTGAGGGGCAAGACACAGCAATTTGTGGGGTGGGCAGAGGTACTTGAACTTATTGCTAAGTAAGAACCATTTTTAGCAATTTATCTGCAAAGGCGGACACTTTTTGAAAGTGGGGACCTTCTGATGGTCCTTAGCTTTTTGGGGGTTAGGTTAATGACTAAGGTGTGAATTACATTTAGGTATGTAATAGTAATGGTTAGGTTTAGGATGAATGCAGGCCCGGCTATATGAAAACACTAAACGACCGCTCAGGGCAGCTGGGAGCCCCCCAAGAGTAATTCACTTTTCAGTATTTTTGCATGCATAACTCTATTTAAACATGCAATTTTGGGATAAAATTCTGCATTTATACATATTTAAACATGTAGAAATTATAATTCGTATATTAAAAAGATTTTGGTCCTTGAGTCGGATTGATGCATAAATAAAGTAGGATCAGTGTCTTAAAGATAAACTGATCTTGAGACACCTAGTGCAAATGTATCTCATTATACCAGGGGTCTTCAACGTTTTCCAGGCCAAGGACCCCCAAACTGATGGCCAGATGGAGCGGGGACCCCCTAATTATATATATTGTATGAAATGTATGATTTTGGATTCCTGTTTGATGGGACAGGTGTTGTGAATGAAACGGTGCCCAGATTAAAACAGCTCCTGTGTGTCGCTGAATGTGTGCATTGATGCCTGAAAGACATCTTCTGCCTCCATTTATCTGTTTACTACAGTGTGTTGAATTCACAATAATGTGGATTTTAAGACATTTCAGTTAGTGGAAAAAGGGCAGGGGGCATAAAAACAAAAAGACTTTTGCAACCCCCATGCAGTACCTCCGTGGACCTCCAAGGGCTCATGGACCCCCTGTTGAAGACCTCTGCATTATACTATCATTTATTTAATATGAGTGTGAGTGTTTTTTTTCAGTTAATTTTTTATTTATTTTTTTCATCAAAACAGTTTTATTTGTTGGTTGCTGCTCTTTTATGTTGCAGTTGGAAATAAAAAGTAAAAAAAAAAAAACATATTGACTGTAAATAAACGGAATACTAGTTTATTTTTTTTACCTTTGATTATTCTATAAACAGAGGACAACAAACCTATAGTAGCTATGTGAATGATCTGATCATTTTGGCAGATGATTTGAGCATTTTGACAGAAATGTAAGACCGAAAAATCAGATTTTGTCATATGGAGGCCTTGGCTGGGCCCTGGGTGAGGGTCAGTGTTAACCCATGGGTTGAAAATGAATCATGATCTGGGGAAGTCTATTAAAGCTCCTATGTAAGTCTGTGTGTCACATTAACAAGTCTTCCCTAACTGCTCAAATTGACAGCTATGGCAAGCGAGCCAAAAATGAACAAACACTACCTGATAGCAGACTAACAGAGACAGAAACAGCTGGGGAAGGGGAAGATAATTTTTACTCTACCTTCTTTGTATCTAGAGAGAAGTCTGGCACATTCTAAAATCTTTATACAGTCGAATTTGCTTTCTGTAAGACTGGCCGAAGTGTACAAACCTTTCTTTCAGCATGCTGGCTAGCAGTGTGTAGCAACAGGTGGGGAAGGGGCTGTAATCATTTGTCTATTATCCATTCATCTTGAAAAAACCCTACAACTTCTGGCACTTTCTCTAGTATCCTTGGAAATCGACTTTAATCTGTTACATCATGATCGCCTTACACCGGTAACGGGACCGTACCCAGAGGTTTAATGACCTTTCATGACCTCTTTAAATCACCTAAGTTCGGTTCATAGCATGACACAAAATTCAGATGTAGGAGTTTTTTTTTTAGATACTTGTAAAAGAAGCATTTCCACATATGAATGAAATCAAAGGATTTTCTGCATAATTGAAAGCTCCCACTAACCCGAGTAGATCAGTCGCTTGAGGGGTCTGATTTGAACTAGAAATTCAGCTTCTTCTGAACTTAAGCTGAACCTGCAGTGTCACAGATGTCCTGAAAATGCTTTCCGTAACAAGCTGTTTGCTCAACGTAACCTTTTTATCATATTTACCCTGGTGGGTTTTTGAAGCAAAAATGTTATAAATAATTGCAGAACCGACGAGAACGAGTTTTACAGAAATAAAATACAAGAAATCTCTGCATGCAGCAGAATGCATAAATCATAGCTGCAGCGGCTGGAATGAATTACTTATTCAGGCTCAGAAAATGACTTCATTTGATAAAGGGTGTGTGTATGGGGGGTATTTTTGTAAAAAAATGGATGCATGTTTAACATTGTGGCTTCTAATGCTGCCGTGGAACCAGATGGCAGAGATACAGAGCAATCATTATGAGAAATGAAACGTGCGAATGCGTGCACGGTGGGAGCCTCAGGGGAGATGTCTTCCTGCCACTTCGTGTCCCCAGACATTCAGAGCTTGTATGTAGACTAATGCTGTCTCTTAAGGATGCATAACCCTTCCGTCAAGTCACTCATGGGAATTAATGAGGCTAAAGCCCCCCCCACCTCCACCCAATGCCACAATCAGTGACTGTAAACCAGGAGTCACTGACCTGCACAGTAGAATTACTCATATTCTGGATGCTTGTATCTCACATTCTCATCCTAACAGGGGGAACTAGAATTGTGTTCTCATGAAGAATGATGCAAAGACCCTTCTAGAGACTACTCTCATGCCTGATGCTCTGCCAACCACTCACCTTCCAATCATCGTAGAGTGCTGCTGCACAGCAGCCTCCAGGAGGCGCTCTAAGATGGTCCATTCTCCCATGGTTAAAGGTAGCAGGCATCCACCGGGCTGAGGAAATCAGGAGTGACACCTCAGTGGGCTTCCCAGCCAGCAGGAGAACAACACCAAGCGCTGGTGATAAAGTGCTCAAAAAGTCCACTTGTTGTGCAGCGGTGAGGTAGTGAGGGTCTTCAGGTGGATCTCCAGGTGTGAGGGAACCTGGAAAGGCTCAGAGCAGCACCGCTGTGTTCTGCCTTTCTTCAAACAGCTCCTAGATGGTTGGGTTGTGCGAGCTACACACAAACACACTCACACACAAAGTCCCGATGCCTAAATAATCCTCTGCTAACTCACTCACACGTGAGTGTCTTCCCCCTTTCCTCCCCGTTTCTCCTCCTGGTCTCCGTTTACTTCCCAAACATCTGCTTGGCCGTATGCTCTCTCACCCTCACCTGAATCGGAGGAGAACCCAGCTGTCATCTACTCCTGCTGAGTTTGGAGAAGCGGCAGTTCGTGCAGGCAGACATCCATCACCAACACTCCGCCCTGGTTCTTTGACAGCATCTCGTAGTAAGTTTGGTGGGGCTCAGGTCCATGTGCACGTGAGCCGATCTTTTGAAGGATCTGCTTCTTTGCTCCACAGTCTCTCCTCCATTCTCTTCATAGCTTCTCCTTCTCTAAGCCAGGCATGTCTTGATGTGCTCTTTCTTTTTTCAAGAGATTCCTTCTTTTCCACTCCCCCTCCTGTTGCTCCTTCCTACTCTCCTGGTTTGGTTCAGGAACAGCGAGATCGAAGCATCGTGTTCTTCCTCAAGCTCCTTCTTCACACTCAGAGACTTGCATGTGTCTCCAGCTCCCTCCTCGTCTCAGCATTCTGTATAAAGAAAGGCAGTTCTCTTTTCTTCCCTTCCCTTCATCTTGTTTTTCTTTCTCCCCCTGTTTCTCTCTTGGTTTCTCTCCGTTTGCCTTCACCTGCCTCCGTCTGCCTCTTTCTCTCTGAGCCAGGAGGCAGCCAGACCGAGCGTGCGTCTAGAGGATTAGAGAGGAATCATCTCTGTGCTCCTCCCCCTCTCACTCACTCGCCATCACCATGTTTATCCCCCCTCCTCTCCCCATCTCTATCCTCTTTATCTGTCTCTGCTCCACAACCATCAATGGCATAAAACAACATTTTCTACTCCTCTCTCACGGCTAAATGTTCTCTTCCCTCCATCTATGGTTTTGTGATCTTCTTTGCATACCAAGCACCGGCTGTAAGTGACAGGTCGATCATCACTGCTTACTCACACACACTCTCATTCACACAGAGCCATGAGAGGCAGCGCTATGCCGAGGCTATGCAAGGATACTGAGCTTACACTGGGGAATGAGTGGCAGAAGGTAAAAGAATCAGTGTGTGAGCGTAGGTACGATGGAAAGTCAATTAGTGGTAGTCATTAAAATGTGCACTAGAGTCCTAAATTATGCAGGAAAATCACGCATGACTAAACTTCAAGGTATTATTAATTCAGTTTGCCAATTAATATCACAAATGTAATGACTCTAATGATTGTTTACACAATAGAAAGGCATGTAATGTTCAGAGCACGTTGCAAAATGTCTTACCGTCCACATGTCCTACTCTTAATGTCTCCAGAGATGTAAGCCCTGTCTACAGTTTTGATCCTGTTTTTAAATTAGTCATAAACTGGTATTTTCTAGAATTGCCTCTAAATTCATCCACTAAACAGGCTTAAAGGAAAAGTC